AGGCAAGGTTTTATTGCTGCCATATTGTTGAGTTATTTTTGGTGGTATTTCTGGTTACTTTGGTCCATCCTGATTTCTGTGGCACCTCTGTAAGAAGGACATCTGTGTTTTCTGCAGTGCTGGTCTTGTTTATACAAACTTCCTTAGGTTCTGTTTTTCTGAGAATATCTTAATCTCTCCTTCATATTTGATGGGCAGTTTTGCTGGGTATTTAGTATTCTTGATCAACAGTTGTGTTGAGTGTTCAATATATATCATTCCACTATCTTCTTGCTCGCATGGTTTCTTCTGAGAAATTGGCACTTAATCTTATTTGCTCTCCCTTATAGGTTACTCTTTGCTTCTCCCTAGCTACTTTCAGAATTCTCTTCTTACCTGCTTTTAGAATTCTCTCCTTACCTTTGGTTCTGGTAAATTTGACTATGATATGGCTTGGTTGTTTTTCTTTTTCTTTTTTTAAAATTATTATTAAATTTGATTAGTTTTAATGAACATTTACAGAGATTTTGGATTTTCATTCATTCATTGTTGCCCTGGTTGTTTTTCTTTAGGGGTCTATTCTATATCGTGTTTGTTCAGCTTCTTGAATATATATTTTCTCATTCTTTATACCTGGAAAATTTTCTTCAAGTAATTTTTCCACAACTTTTTTGGTGCCTTTACTTCTTCCTTTTCTGGGATTCTGATTATGCATGTGTTATTCCTCTTGATAGTGTCCCCCATTATTCTTAGCTTTTCTTCTTTTTCCTTCCTTTTTTGAGTCTGCTTTTCTAACAGATCAGTGGTGACTTCTGTTTCACTGGTTCTATGCTTGATCTCTTCAACTCTGTTCATGTGTCCCTCCGGCATGTTGACAGCATCTGAAACATTGGTCCTCATATTCTGGATTGTGGTTTCTTGTTTTTCCAGAGCTTCTAAAGCCTCATTTGTTTTATCTGAATTGTCTTGGATTGGTTGTTGTTTTTTTTAAGCTCCTCTGGGTTTCTGCTTGCAGTGTCCCATAATTCTTCAAGTTTGTCTTTCACTCATTGAAAATATTCAGTCATTGTTCTTTTTGATACTGTGTCACTTTTTAGGGGTGACACCTTGCTTTGGGCTTGTGTGGAGTGGAAGGTAACCTGCTTCTTATGTGACATTGCTTTGTTAAAGTTTTTTATGCCTGAGGCAAAAACAGGCTCTGCTTGTGGTCAGATGTGTTTCTCTCTGAACTTTTGCCTCAAGGGAAGACTTGCTTCAGTTCAGATTAGAAAAGGACTGTGAATTAGCAGCCTCCTTTGTTAGACAATTGTTGCAGCTAGGCCAATCCAAGGTGCTCCGGGCTAAAAGGCAACTCACACTTTGGGAGAGGAAATGAAATGAAATGGGTCCATCTATGATACTGATGTTTCTGGTGCAGTTCAGGGGGGTGACAGCAGGTCATCCTCCAAGCGTTGGAGTTGGAACATCCAGGCTGTGGCTCCAGGTCCTCCACGTGGTTGGTCTAGGACCTCCTGTTGGCCATTGCCAAAGTCAGACACTTCTGTGTGGTATTTGAGAGATTAGGAAAACATTGTCTTAAAAACCATAAAAGACCATGGGCTCACATGCCTCATCTCATGAGAAAGTGGTATAAGTGCCTCGTAAAAAGGCTTCTGCTGTATCTCTGACTCCACCTCTCAGATCTTACAGAGGATAAAATGGTTTGCATTTTCCTCCTAGAATTTTGTTCAGTAATTGTTAATAACTTATTTTTGTTTAGTGTCTCCTTTTGTTTTGATGCTAGTATTTGTTTACATGTCGATTGCAGTAGCTCAGCAAGTTTAGGGAAAGAAGACTGAGCTGAAATTCAGCTATCACTTGGACTTTTCTTTGCACCTAATACTATGTTTAACAAAATAGGGTTATTAAAGTGTGGCCATTAATGATGAGATTATTTAATTATAAGAATTCTTGTATGTAACTTAATATTCTTTTGCATCATCTAATATCCCATGGTATAGTCACTTGACTTCCTAATTTTTTTATTTTAAAAAACAAAAGCATATTCGTAGCTTTTATATAGAGTAACCATAGTTATTTATAAGATTATTTTTTAAGGAAAAATACTTAGAAGTAGAATTGCTTGTAGAGGTCAGTACCATTTTTAATCATTTTTCATATTACTTTTCAGTCTGCTCTTCTGTAATTTTGGTGCTCTGTATTCAGACTTCACTTTGTTATGTCTCACTGTGATAAAACTATTTCTGAGGACATTTAAAGAATATTGTGAAAAATTTTATTATTGTACAGAGTACGTTTGGAAATTTCCAGATGCCCTTTAATAATTGCTTGAAATTGGTTTAAATAGTAGCAGGATTTTAAAATCTGATCTAAATTAAGTAAATTTTACGTAAGCAGTGATTCACAGAACCTTTCATGTAATTGTTGAGTTTCATTTGTCATCTGTTTTCATTCTGTTTTTTGTTTTTTGTTTTGTTTTTTTTTTTTTTTTAATATTCATTAACGTGTTTTGTTCCTTACCATTTACAGCTCAGAATTCTGCAAATGCAGATTTTGCAAACTTTGCTGCATTTGGACAGTCTAGTGGTTCGAGTAACTCTGGAGGTTTCCCCACAGCAAGTCGCTCTCCTTTCCAGCCCCAAACTACAGGTAGAGCTTCTCCAGTGTTCCTTTCTCACGTGTTCCTGTAAGAAGAGGAAAAAGAGAACACTCTTTAGATCTAGTTTTGTCAAATTATTCTCAACTTGAATTCTCTAATTACCAGATTTTGAAATAGTTCTCTTACTAAGCTCTGGGGAAACCTGAATTTTTGTTTATTTGCTGTGTATTTATTTGTTTTTCTCAAGTTTGAAGTTCTATTAATTCATTTCATCCTCTCTCTTTTCCTGCACAGTAACTGCATGAAAATATATTTGGCGTTGTTGATGTAGGTTGACTTGATACCTCTGAATAAAGCAAGCAAAGTGCCTGCTTTTATAGAGCTAAACTGCCCGAAGTTTTAGGGCCATAAGCATGAAAAAAAGGCTCAATATTGCTAGTTCTTTTTGACTATGTAGTGGCCACTTTAATAAAATTTGAGAGTAGTTTTCTGTGCAGGAATTGAATATTTCCATAAACTGTTGTTTCCAAAGTGCATTGAACATAGATCTTTGATTTCTTTCTACTTGTAGCTCTGTGTTTTGTCTTATGCATTTCTTTCATTTTCCTTTTTGTTTCTTTTGAATTTCACAATTTATATCATTTCTGACTGTCCAGCTTTTAGAATGCTTTCATCTAGCTGCAGTTTTGGTGAATTCACTTCAACTTTTGCTCCTCAGGCTGCCCACAGTAAGTTTTCTTGTTAAGTAGGCATCTTAGTAATTGGTGTGTTTTGTGCTGTGTAGTTCATGAGTTTTTAAATTATAGTTGATTATTAGTCTAGTTGTTAAATGATTATCTTTTAAATTCTCCCATTTATTCCCATTTACCTAGTAATAAATTTAGACTTTACCCCATATTACAATTGTACACAATTAAAGCCATTTGATTTGATAACTCATTTTTTCATACTTTGAAATAAAACTCTTCATTCAGATTTTAAAAGCTTGGTATCTGTTTTGTTCACCAACTACTTTTAGCAGATTATAATCTTCTAAATACAACGATGTGTTACTTAGTATTAATTGAAAACAGCTAGTGTTTAACTGCTGAAAGAAGATTTATCCATGTATATTTCTTCCACAGTGTTGATAAAAAATTTGATAGCATTCTATTTTTGGAAAGTATCTATTCTGCATTTTTAATGTCTATAGATGTACTTTGCTATCCTTTAATACAGCACCATCTGAAAGAATTCTGATGTGGTGGGTAAAGCACTTTAGCTGTAAACCTGTGAGTTTGCAGCTTGAAACCCACCAGTTGTTCCCTGGGAGGAAGATGTGGCAATTTGCTTACATAGAGATACCAGCCTTGACCGCACAGTGGGACAGTTCTGCTCTGTATTGTAGGGTGACTGTCAGTCAGAATCCAGTTAAAGGATTTATTGTTTTGTTTGGTATATATACTATTCTCGTTGCTAAAATGGTAGTAAAGGCACAGTATTTGAGAATTACGCTACCAAAAGCATAGATGAAGTACACTGGGAAGCAGAAGAAAGCCCTGTTAGCCCTTTGGAGAAGACCTTGAATGAACTTTACAGACTAGAAAATGGGCTTTAATTTCACTATTAGGGTAATGGGCTTTTTATACAAAGTCTGTTTTTTTGCTGTAAGTTTAAGCTTATATGTAATTTTTTTCTTTGAGCTACATGTTAAGGCAATATCATATAGTATGCACATTATTATGTGGAAATAAATACTTTCTTTTATAGTAAGTCTGATACATTGTAAGAAATTTTGGATCAAATGTTATATCTTAAATAGCATTAAATCAGAAGCTGAGTAGTTTGGGATAACATGTCTTCATGGAGCTTGAGTCCTCAAACAAAATAACTTTCTCTTGTTGTAGATTATCTGTCCGAGACAAATGAGTACATTGCTGATTGTTTGACAGGTCCCTCAGTGGTGCGCATGGCTTGCACTCAGATCCCTAGCCACAAGGCTCATGGTTTCTGCTCATCCAGTAGTGCTGAGGACAGACTTGACAGTCTACTTCCCTACAGTTAGAGCCACAGAACCCTAGGGGGCAGGTAGTTATTTTCTGTTACACAGAGGGTTTCCATGAGTCAGAATCGACCCTATAGTAACAGGTGTGGATGGTATATAAAGAAATTGAGTCTCAATACAGGTCTCACCTATGAGTTCTAGTCTTCCCTCCAAGGTAGTGGATACTGAAACATGCCACCTGCAGGTGGTCAGGCCTTTTGAAAGTCTAGCTTAATTATAAAAAGTCAAGTGTAAAGTTGAATGCTATTTAACAGTCATTAATTTCAAAGTAGGGTTCTTTATAGAATACTTAATTTAGGGAAAAAATGATTATGTTAATTACCAAAACGTATTGGGAAAAGTCTCGAAGTGTTAAGTGTTCTGTTTATTCTGTTACAGGTGGAAGTGCTGGATCAGTAAATGCTAATTTTGCTCATTTTGATAACTTCCCCAAATCCTCCAGTGCTGATTTCGGAACCTTCAATACTTCCCAGAGTCATCAGACAGCATCAGCTGTTAGTAAAGTTTCAACGAATAAAAGTGGTCTCCAGACAGCGGACAAATACGCAGCCCTTGCTAATTTAGACAATATCTTCAGTGCTGGGCAAGGTATCACACTTTAAACAGAGTGCATACGGATTTGCTATTAGACAGTGCTCTAAATTTGGTTGTAGTCATTAAGATCTGAGAGTGTTCTGCTTTTCTCTGTTGTATCGAACTTTTTTCTACATGCAACATTTTTTAGTAAATGTTTGTGATTACTTGATACATTGTAGATCTGAAAGGTTTCAGATTCCTAATCAATCCAAAAATTCGAAATATAATGGAGAAGTTCATTAATAACACCAATGAAAAGATAGCCTTTAGGCTGATTTGGTTTTGGTTTTAGTTTTCTACATGAAAGCACTCAGTTAAAGAAAGTACATGTGTATTCAAAATACATCAAGTGCCCTGAGGGCTCATAAGTAGAAGTATCTTGTGGCTCAGTGCTTAATGATATTTTGGGAGAATTGCTACACTTTCATGTGGAATTGGAGTCTGTAGTGCAGAGGGCGGTTGCACTTGTCTGCTAACCAGAAAATACGCACAAAGATGCTTTGGGAGAAAGGGCAAGTGATCTACCGTAAACCGTTCAAACCATGGAACACGGCACTGTTCTACTCATGAGCAAGTTTGGGTTTTAATGATTAGGGTTTTTTATGCTTACTGTAGCAGTCATGAGGGATCTCTGGTGGCATAGAGAGTTCAGGGTTGCACTGGTAACCCAAAGGCAATATCCCTCTCTTAACAGTTCAAATCCACCAGCAGCTCTTAGCAGGAAAAATGAGCAGTCTCCTCTGAGACCACGTTTCCGACTTCACTGCAATGAGTTGAGTTTTTTGTTGTTGATAGTAGTTATAACTAAAATGAGACACATATTCCAACATACGCTCTTACTCAGGAAAGTATCAAGGACTTTACAAAGTGCATATTCCTGCCATTGCTAAGAAGGGATTCTAGCGGAGTAGTACTTCACGTGTTGGGGTGCGAGCCCATCTCCTCCCGTAAATATTTACAGCCTCAAAAACCCAGTTGAAGGTCACTGGGAGTCAGAATTGGAGTTTGAGCATTACTGAAGGAGCTCTGGTGGCGCTATTGTTAAAGCACTCTTTTGCAAATGGCAAGATCAGGAGTTCGGAACCCACCAGCTGCTCAGAGGGAAGCAGTCTGCTTCCATAAAGATTGACAGCCTGAAAACTCTATTAATAATTACTGATCTGTATTAGATAACTTCAGAAGATGCCACATAGTTTTATCCACAACTGTGGATATGCAATGGACTTTCTTTTGCCAATCTGTTGTAACTAAAATAGAAAATAAATTTGGTTAGCTAATCTTCCTACCCCTTTCTCCCCCAATGTTGACTATAAACCTTAACTAAATCTTTCAGTTACACAGTCCAGTAAGCATTACATTCAGAGTAGAGCCCTCTTCTCCCCCAGTTCACACCCTTTAGTGGAAATTGTTTTTTCATCCATTACCTTCTATCGTGTTCCTGTGTCAGCAGCTTCATTTCCTGATTATATTTTGCCATCCCCTTTTGTTTCACAGATGAAATAATAGAGGCTTTGAGTCTTTCTACTCAAGACTAGGCACTTACACACCAAGTTAGGACCTCATTCTGGATTTTCTTACTATATCCAGAATTTCTTAAAATACATGTGGCTGCATAGAGAGAGAACACATTTGGTTAAAGGAAATACATGGTGCTAATAACTGTGAAAGTAGTCCTTTGTCATTGATGTAGATAATGGGCGACTCTTTCTGTTTAAGGAGTCTTTGTTCATTTGTTTTCAAATGGTCATAATTAGAATCAATACCTAGTCAGAAAGCCCTTAACATAAGGTACAAATTGGTGACATACTGTAAAAGTTGCCATAAGTTTGAATTTACCTGATGACAACACAATGCAAGTTTTGAAAGTGAAATCTCTGGGTAAGTGGTTAACACGCTCAGCTGCCAACCAGAAGACTGAAGTGTCAAGTCTCCCTGGAGTCACCCTGTAGGACAGGCTTGGAGATCTTCTTCCAAAACCTTAGCCTTTGAAAACATTCTGGAGCCCAGTTCTCCTCTGACATCTAGAGCTGCTACGAGTTGGATTTTGTCACAGCTGATAACTGTAAACTTTAAGTGAACAGTTGTGGAATTTTTATTTTGTCCAGGAATTCTGTTAACTGACTGAGGGCTTATTTTGTGGTTTCTATAATATATCAATTTAGAACTATTTTTGTCCATGTGTAGATACTTGATAATTTGGTATTTTGTAATACTAAAAGTATCCACTCAGTTTACGTCTCAAGCTGAATATTATGCTCTGCAGACACATAGTGCAGAAGTATTGTATTTATCCAGTCTTACTGTCGCACAGATAACACAAGTGATTGGCTTTAATAAGAAATTTTTTTTTTATAGTTTTAGGACTTAAAATTGAAATCTGGGTGTTGATCATGTGAACTCTTTTCTTGTCAGCAGCCCTGAGATTACTGGGCTTTTCCATGATTCTTCACAGGCTCCAGGCTCGCTCTCTTCCCTCTACTAGCCTTTGGCTCTTAACAGCAATTTTTAGATATAACTCAGATGAATTACCTTAGAGAGCTATGCCTCCAAAAGACCTGTTCCCAAAGGAGTTCACATCCATAGGCATTCACACACCATAGAGGCACAGTTGAGTCCTAAGAAGGTCAAAAGTCTGGGCTGGTGCTAGACTGGACCTGATGGTGCTTTGCTGCCTTGGTTTGGTGCTGACCATACATAGTGAACACTATGTGTATTCTAGTGCGTGTAGGACATCTACAACAGTGCCAAGGCTAGACTGGCTTAGTTAGTGCTTCCCTAAGCCAGCTGCCTTTTAAGGGTGGCTTAAAAGAATTTCTTTCTCTTCCTCAGTTGTGGAGCTATATTACTTCTGGGGGCCTTTGTCTTCATTTATATTTACTACCAGCACTTGCTCTTCTTGTTGACCATGTTCACATGGCATCTGTTTCACTCCGTGTGTGTTTGTGTCTTTTCCGCTCTTTTTAAAAAGACATTGCCTAGAAATCACTAACCCAAAAGTATCACCTCTTAGGAGGTTCAAATCCACCAGTTGATCTTCCCTTACTGTTTACAGCCTCTGAAAACCCACTGAGGGTCAGCTGTGCGTAGGTTCCAGCTGAGTGGCAAAGGGTTTTTTGAATGAGAACTAGGATCCACCCTCTTCAGGAATGGCCTGGCGAAGAGAACCGCCTCTTCATAGATGGGGGTGGGTGTGTGGGTGCGTGTGTGTGTGTACACGTACGTACATACATACATACACACTTTAATACATTGTCCTCCAGTTGGAACCATTCCATACCTGACTCACCAGCAGGTTTTCAGAGAATGTAAATTGCTCAGAAGGAGATGGCCCATCCTTCTCCCACATAATAGTTGGTGGATTTGAACTGCACAGCTTCTTACCACTAGGCTACCAGAGCTCCTCCAAAAAACATATTTTGTAAGACACAGTTCAATCTGTAGCATACACTAAGTGTCTATTAAATGTTCTTTTTACTACTTTCTCTAATTTTCCATGGAAAACCATGAGAAAATAATACAGTTGATAAAATGTGTACATATTTAGTCCCAGCATTCTTGGAGGTTTTACCCTCACTGGAATGAGTGGGTCCGTATTAACAGCACTTTGAGAATTTTTATGAATCATTTAGACATGTTGTTGACTAATTGCTTTTGTTACAGAAGCAGTATTTTGTCTTTGCTACAGTAACATATAGAGACTCTCATCTTGTCTAATATCATCTAGGTTATTTATTAGTTTAATATTCCAGAATGTCATCCATTTATTTGCTGAGCTCTAATACAATTTTGATTTTAGTTTAATGATAAAGTGTTGAAAGTATGAGTTCAAATATTGGTGTAATTAATTAATGGTTTTTGTTTTTGTTGGTCTCTAGGTGGTGATCAGGGAAGTGGTTTTGGGACCACAGCTAAAGCCCCTGCTGCTTCTGTGGTTTCGGTTCCTAGTCAACCAAGTGCGTCTTCGGACAAGTATGCAGCCCTGGCCGAGCTGGACAGTGTGTTCAGCTCAGCAGCCACTTCCAGTAATGCATACACTTCCACAAGTAACGCTAGCAGGTACTTCGTTTTAGTCTGGACTCTTGCCTGCTGTTTTGTCTTATAATTACTTCACCAATACATGATAATGTCATTCCATTAAATAATGACTGTTTCTAGACAGCTATATATTTGGAAATTGAGTTTAGTTCACTTTGAGGAATTGACATTATTTTGTGTTTTTATAGGAGGCAGTGTCCACATTTCAAAGTGGATAGTTCCTCTAGATCTCATTGTATTTAGCTGGGAATTCATGTAGCAGTCATGTTACATGCTAGTGATCCTTTTCATTAAAAAATGGAAGGATGACCTTGTAGCCTCAGTTGTAAACACATTTTTTTCCAGGGCCCAGCTTCAGTTCTGTATTCCTTTAGTTGCATACTGGCATTTATAAATAGGGAGTTGTACTCACAGCCCCAAAGGCTGTCAGTTCAAATCCACCAGCTGCTCTGAGGAAGAAAGATGTGCAGTCACCTGTGCAGCTTCCAGCCTCTGAACATCCACCAGGAAGTCAGCTGTGAGTTGGTTCCAACTTGACGGCAGGGAGTTGAGTTGTTTCTGTTGCTGTGTTACCATGATTCAAAGCCATTGATCAGGAAAGGAGAGGAAGACCCTCAAAGAGATGGGCTGATAGAGTGACTACAGCATTGAGCTTGAGCACGCAGGATCGTAGGATGGGCAGGAGTGGGCCAAGTTTATAGCATCTCTGAGAGTCAGTTTGCCAGCAAGAGCAACTGGAAGTCTAACATGTTTTACAGATAGGACTTAAAGCTGCCTTCTAGTCTTGACTTTTTCATTTTATAGTTAAGGACCTAGACCCAGGGTAGAGGTTTTTCCATGGGTAGTGTTTTTATTCCTTTTTATTTTCCATTGTTGTGAATTGTCTCTTTTATTCCTGTGAGCTTCCCTGTGAATTGTTCCTTTTGTTGTTTCAGTAGGTTTCATTTTCTCTTTAGCACCTTTTCTAAATGGAAATGGCAAGATCGCAATACTGTTTGGCTTCTCTAGTATTAATTTTTCTGAATACTACCTGTTGTGACCAAGATAGTTAGAATTTAAACTTAAAACCTTTTATGAGAAAGAACTGCCTCCCAGGCAAGGCCTTGTGAAAGCAGATTGCTTTGTCTTTATCCTGGGGAGTGACTGGTAGGCTCAAACTCTGACCTTTGGCTTAGTTTCTGAGTGCTTAATCCTTGTGCCACCTAGACTCCTGCTCCTCTCTGTGTGCTAGGTAGGAAAATAAATGAATAAATACATGTTGGAACCAGGTGTACAGTTTTTGTCTAGTGCCATCGACATTATTACTGGTGGTGTGCAGTAAGTGAATCTTGAAAACAGTGACCCTGTAGGACAGAGTGGAACTGCCCTGTAGGTTGCTGGTTATGGTAGAGTCCACAGAATGTTTTATTGCTAGTAAAAATGCTGAGAGGCTCTGCAAGTTCAAATCAGTCAGTGATTCCTTGGGAAAAGGTCGAGCATTTCCTCCAGTAGTATTTGTAGCTGTGGAAACCGTATTGAGGCTTGCTATAAATTGCAATTGACCTGGCGTGGTTTCAGTATTTACGGAAGCAAAGTACCAGGTCTTGTCTTCTTCCAAGAAGATGCTGGTGAGCTTGAATGCTGGTGGCCTCGCTGTGCTGCAATCCCAAAAGCATGCAGTTCAAATGCACGAACTGCTCTGCAGGAGAAGGATGGGCAGTCTCCTCCTCTGTGATTTGCTGCCTCTGAAAACCCACTGAAGGGTCAGCTCTGGGTTGGTTCTGACTCAAAGCCACACAGCCGCCACCACCACCACCACCACCACTGACAGCTTAGTGCCTAATCATCACAGCAGCAGCACTCTTTATTATCTGCGTTACCCCTCCTTACTGCTGTTGAGTTGGAATTGACTCATAGGCAACCCTTCAGCAGATTTTCCAGGAGTATAACCACACAGGAGAAAATTGTCCAGCTTTCTGCCATAGAGACACTGATGGATTTGAACTAGGAGAGACGCATGGCCTTAGGCTTGGTGGTACAGCTAGCTACAGACTTAGAAAATATGGCCCCAAAGGTTGAAATAGGTGTAGAATAACAGATGATTTGGTAATATTAAATTATAATGTATCAGCAGTTTGTGTTGCATAGTTCACACATTTGGGGTTCCTGAGACCCCTTCAGGAGGACCTATGAAGTTAAAGCTCTTTTCATAATAATTCTGAGATTATCTGCTTTTCACTAAGTTGATATGTGATTTCATATGTAATGAGATATATTAACATTTGGAGGATTAAATAACTCCTATGAATGATAAAAAAATAAATAACAGATTTATTTAAAGTATCCTTGTTGTTGTTAGGTGCCGTGGAGTCGAGCATGACTCATAGCAACCCTGTGAACAAAAGTTCTGAACCCTGTTCTATGTCAGTCCACCTGGTTGAGTGTCTTCCTTTCCTTTGCCGACCCTCCACCCTGCCCAGCCTCATGTCCCTCTCTGAGGAATAGCCCCTCCTAGCAGCATACCCAAAGTCTATGAGGCAAAGCCTTATTATTCTTGCCTCCGAAGAGCACTCAGGCTGCACCCTCTTTAACACGTGATTGTTCTTTTGGCCATCCATGGAATGTTCAGTGCTCTCTAAAGTATAAGACCAGTGAATTTTACTGTTACTTGAGAAGATTGTGGATCTGACCTCAAAGTTCCATAATGCAGCAATAACTTAGGTTTATCACAAAACAACCCAAGTATCTGAAAAGGCTATTAAAATACTGCTGACTTGTTCAACACTTATAAGCTATATGAGGCCAGATTTTCTTCATGTCCTTCAACCTAAACAACAGAACAGAATGAATGCAGTAGTAGATTAAAAAAATGTAGCTTTCTTCTAAAAGCAAAGACATTAAAGAGATTTGCTTCTCTCTTGCTCAGTGCTTTTTGTTTGAGAAAATATATTCATGTGTCATAAAAATGTTATGTATGCTTACAAGTAATAGCTTTATTCTTTTTAAATGAATGTAAAATAATCTTAACATTTCTGTAAAACACGTTAATAGATACAATACTCTGGTGGTTTTGTGGCAAGGAATTGCACTGACAACCCAAAGGTACACAGTTTGATCCCACTAACCACGTCGTCTCCTCCCATATGATCTCTAGCCTCTGAAAACCTGCCAGAGGGTCAGCTGTGAGTCCTCCCCAGCTCCATACAGCATAGACAAAAATGTTTTGCGGTTCTCAGTTAGTTTTACGACTACAGATAGGTCCTGAGGTTTGTAAGTTTGAGAACTGCTATGTTTAGTATGATCTGTTTCCACATTTTATGGCCTCCCTAGAAATAGTTTACCCTTCATTATGGGGTGTGTGTGTGTGTGTGTGTGTGTGTGTGTGTGTGTGTGTGTGTGTGTGTTGGGGCTTTTTTAGCATATATGACCTCTTTTTAATATCTATTTTCAGCAATGTTTTTGGAACAGTACCAGTGGGTGCTTCTGCACAAACACAGCCTGCTTCTTCAAGTGTGCCTGCTCCTTTTGGAGGTAGGTGGTTCTGGGAGTTCCTGATGAGCTCCATGCTTGTTACAGCACTTTATTTTCATCAAAGCAGTGATTTGTTGTTAAACTGTTACAGGTTTCTGCCTCAACAGTAAACAAATATTTGAAGTACTTACATGCAAAAAGTGGTAGAATTTTACAGTACATTTTCTTATTTTTTTAAAGCAACACCTTCCACAAATCCATTTGTTGCTGCTGCTGGTCCTTCTGTGGCATCTTCTACAAATCCATTTCAGACCAATGCCAGAGGAGCAGCAGGTAAGAAGAAACAGCAGGTTGAATATAGGTCAACTTTAGAAAAGATAGGTATTACACAGACATCATGTTAACATTCCAGAAAAGGGAGTCTCTCTTCTGAATGAGGGGAAATAGAAACGAGATGGAAACTTTTGTCCATAAATAAAAACAGGAATTAAACATTTATAAAATCCTGCAATTAAAAAACTGAGTGGGATCTTGGAGGTTATTAAATTCCTACCACTCCCCAGTAAAGCTGGGAAGCTTTTTTCAGATAAGGAATCTCAGAGATGGCATTAGGACTGCTTTAGAGAGGAGTTTATGGCTCAGATGGCACTTGATTTGACTTATTTAGTGGATTGATATCAGAGTTACTGGCTAAAACTTAATCCTAAAAGAACAATTTGATAAGAAGTTTTTCCCTGTCTTCCTGTCCATCTATCCTCCTGCTTGAGATGAAAGGGTTTTGTTCTGTAAACTCAACTCTTTGCCACTGAGTTAGAACCAGCTCACAGCTGACACTCAAGTGGGTTTTCAGAGGCTGTAAATTCCTTAGTTCTTTCTCACTGCATGTCTCTTTTCAGGATGTTTAATTTTGGATGTAAAACTTTTTTCTCTTGAATATTCATTAATTTTAGAGTTTATATGCTTTATATGTCTCAGTAGTCTTAGTGCTAAGCTTAGTGCCTAAACTGAGAAAAAGGTTGGTAAGAAATCTTGAAAGAATAAATGCTTGAAAAATTAAATGAATGCTGTTAAGAATTCTTTATAACTTGATTTTGGGGAAGATGAAGAGTATGATATTAGGAATTTCAATTACAGCAGTTTCCTTTCTTTTTTTTTTTTACCTTTATTAGTAGCATCCTGAGGAACCATTTTTACATACATGTCTTCAGTCATAACTTGTCAGTGTTTTATAGAATTGATACTTAATATTTTCATTTCATAGTATCCCACCAAATGCAATTTTAAAAACTTATTTGCTTTAATTGATTGCAGTGTTGTGTATTTCATAATCAAGCATGCCATATTTCTGTTTAAGATATTATTAGGGATAAGTGGAATTTGTAAAGACAAATGGAGTTTGTAATTGTCTCATCTATTTCTTTCAGCTCTCAGAGACTTTTTATTAGTGAGAGCTGAGGGAATTGAGGCTCAGAAAAGTTCAGTTTGTATGTTTAGAGTACAGTCACACTTGCATTTAAATTCTGGTTCAATGTTTTTTGGGTGATTTTAAGAAAGCTCTTTGTATTTTATCATATTAGTAAAAGGGGTAAGAATAATAGTGTTCTGACACTGAGTGCTATCAATGATTTGTAATGTACCATTTAGATGTTTATATTTAAATAAAACCATATTTAACAACTGAGGAACAGAAACACAGATTTTAGAGATTAATTCCATGCACTTAATGTGTCTGAACTTTGTTATTGTCTTACCTATATTCTAATTGGACATTTGAAGCTAGTGTTTCTCCAGATTTTATTTCAAATTAATGTAATCTACAGAGAATCTGACCACATCCCATTGTGACTTTTACACTTCCTTTTACCATCAAGTGAATAACTTCTTTCCTAACATTCATTTAAATGCTTTGAAAAGTAGAATTAAATCATAGATAACATCTAATTGAGCAGCCTCATTTTATTACCCAGGTAGATTTGAAAAGTGTTAATGGCTTTCCCCTAAGGGTTAGCAATTAATTAATGTGCTATCTAATGTTAGTAATTAGAGCTCTTCTAAACCAACACTGCTTCCATTCTAGAATAACACATTGTAACGATTGATGGCTCACTTGTTTGTAGACATTAAATAGACTACATCATTTTTACTTAGCCTTTGTACTGTTTATTAGGGTCCCCTCCCCACCGTTTTTCCTGGAATTATAAACTATAGAATCCAAGAATTCTTTTTATGTATTCAAGGAACATGCACAAGACATCGTTGTTGTTATGTGCCGTCGAGTCGCTTGCGACTCATAGTGACCCCATGTATAACAGCCCTAAACTCTGCCCTGTCCTGTGCCAATCCCACCATATCTGACACACCTACCCCCATTACCCCAGTCACTGAATCAATCCATCTCATCGAGGGTCTTCCTCTCCTGCGCTGTCCCTCCCCTCTCCCAAGCATGATGTCCCTCTCAAGGACTGGTCCCTCCTTGCAACATGTCCAAAGTATGTCAGACGAAGCATCAGAATCCTTGCCTCCAAGGAGCAGCCTGGCTTCACCCTCTGCAGGACAAACCTGTTCGTTTTCTTAGCAGTCCATGATATAGTCCGTATTCTTCTCCAAAACCACAGCTTAAAAGCATTAATTCTCCTTCTGTCCTCCCTGGTCATTGTTCAGCTCTCTGATGCATAGCAAGTGATTGCAAAGACCATGGCATGTATCAGGCGCACATTAGTTTCCAGACTGACATCATTGCACTTCATTGTACTTTAGAAAGATCTCTAACCACAGACTTTCCCATCGCAGTATGTTTTTTTAATTTCCTGGCTAATGGTGCCAGGAGTGTTGACCGTGGAGCCACGCAAACCAAAACTGTGAACAATCTCAGTCTCTTCACCTTTTATTCCATGTTTGCATCCTCAGGAAGCCCCACCTCACTTGTCTAGTATATTGTGGAATTGAGAATTAATACAAAAAGCAGAGGTTGAAAGGAATCGAAGAAAACGTCTAAGTGTTATATGGTACATGTAAGACATCTTTTATTTATAGAAGAGTTGATTTTTTTAAAAGAAATTACAATGTTTGATAGTAGAAAATGAAAATATCTAGAGGAAAATATTGGCTCATGTATGTAATAGCAGCCGCTTGTGTCTCCTGGAAAGCAGGAACAACAAACTTAAAAATCTTGAAGACACTTATACAGGGGGTTTGAGTTAGACATTTCTCCAAAGAGAGATGGCCTGTCCACATGGTTGATGTGACAAGGTGTTTGCTGTCATGGTGATCACCATTGTCCTGAAGTCAGTTCTAACTTGAACTGGTAGCGAGCCGTCCCTCAGGATGGGAGAGTGGTGCAGAAGGTCCCTACGGTCCTATGGAAACAGGCTGTTGCATCGTTCTTCCTTGGAATGACTGTGAATTTGAACCTCTGACCTTCTGGTTAGCATCCCATCACTTGACCTCCATTAGTTTTTAAGGGACTGTAAGTCAGAACTACTCTTCACAGCAGCAGGGATACTTCTGTCACTTGTGTGTAGTGTTGCTTTGAGTCAGCTCAGTGGGATCTAGCAACATGAAGCATGGCTCCAGTCAGAAAGGTAGACTCTAACAAGCTTTGTTGAAGATGGAAATTAGAACATTGTTGAGAATGGCCCAAAAGTGACAGGAGCCCTAGTAATGCCCGTCAGCTGACGAATGGATGAAGCGTGATGTTCGTGTGGAAACAGCTAGAATAGTCAGCCCTTTGCAGGGGGGAGATGAGGGGGCTGGCGGGGTACTGAGAAAGGGGTGGTACTTGACCAAGGCATGGCTTTTAGAAGAACGATGATATTGTAAAATTAGGTTGTCATGATAGTTAAATTCTTAAGTGTTTCATTTTTAAAAGGATTTGCTTCTTTATCTTATATTTATTATCCTACTACTTAATTTTTTACTTTTTCCTAACAATATAACTCTTCACAATGTCATAAATGGAGTTGAAATAAAAAGACTTGTTTTATAGATGTCTGTTTATTATATGTCCTCATGCTACCTGCTTTGCAGCCGTGTATTCTAATTTTAGATTTTAATGAAACAACTTTATTAATCTCACGTTAGTGATCTGTAAGTTCATTGATGCAGTCTCTTTGTGGCTCCCCAAGGCCTTTCTGGAGCAATGCACTCTCAAGTGTTCCCTCACGCTCATTTTGGTAGGTGGCCACAAGTAATGCTGAAATGTTGTGTGGCAGTGTGTCGGCCTGCTTGCGGAAGCGTCTGCTCATGTTGGGTTCCCTGCATGTGGAATTCTGTCTGTCCATGTTTTTAAATGGAGTGGGCATGGATGTGAGACATCAGGGTGACATTGGGCTTAAAATGACCTAAAAATCCTTTGGGAATGATATGTAAATGCTGATAAGCCGTACTGCTTACCTCCATGGCTACATTAAAATTTTAATAGCTGCTTTGAGTCTTTTTCTTGAGCTTGAATTCATAAAGCTTTGAGTGACATGTTTGAAATAGACCAAACCGCCTTGGCCCTTTGTCCTTAGAGTCTGGTTGTGCTTAGCTGTGTCCAGGCTGCTTTGCTTTCCAGTGCGTTCCTAGACAGTGGCCTGTCCCTGTTCTGTGGGTGCATTGCTGTCTGCTATGAGCCCCTTTTGTTTCCCTCGCAGTGTGCTTATTACCCTTTCATTCACTTGCTTCCCAGTGCTTTACTTCCTTATTTTCTCATTATTATTATTAGGAACATTTGTTCTTTAAATTCTGGCAGATTCTAATTAGGTTCAGTGAAGAAAATTGTATAATTCCATGCATTAGAACTTTGTAGAACCACTTGTAAATGCCTTCTAGTTTATTAGTTCGTTTTAATAGAAGACATAATTCTAAGCAGCACTGGTAAATTTTTATTTCCTTATCAAAATCAGAGCTCAAGCCTACCATTTAAAAAAATCACGGTATATGTAATAGCATGATGCCAAAGACAGTTTTGTTGTGTGATTAATTACAGCATCTGTGGGTGTCTTCCAGTTGGTTTTAATAAGATGCTAGGCAGCATGAATTAATTTCTGTGTCTAAATCAATTATTAAGGTGGTCGTTTTAAAAAAGCACAGTATATTTGCTAGCATGACACCAAAAATGGTTTTGCTGTGTAATTAATAACTACTATTCTATGTTTAAGGAGTTCTGGTGGCCCAGTGGTAAGAAGCCGTGCCGTAATCGCAGAGGCACACGGTTCTAAGCCACCAGTGTTTCACAGGAGAAGGATAAGCAGTCTCTTCCCATGCAGATTACTGTCTCTGAAAAACCACTAGAGGGTCAGCTATAGATCAATTCCAGTTTTATGGCATTCGACAATAATGACCACAATTCTATGTTGAAAGAGAAATGATTGGCTCTTAGTTCTGTGAGACCTTTCCAAGAACATAGTTGGAAGATTTTGCTTGAAATCTTCCCTAGCGTAAATTATACTCTGTCCTACAACTGTAACTCTGTAATGGACATAAATCCATAAGGATGGAAAGATAGTGTTACAGAGATGGAGTGCTGACTCCCACAGAATTGTGCTGTGTTCATGTCCTGTTCCACCAAGTAAAAGTTCCTGGACACGGTAAACCATGGAACATAGTGCCCATTTCCCCTACGTTCTTGATCTTGCTTAACAAATGCCTGTTCCTTTCGCATCAAGTTTCTGATTTTTGCCCTAATTGGTACCGTCCCAAAGCTGCCTTTATTTATCTGGCAGAGGAAGAGGACAGAATGTATTTTGGAATTGTTTTCTTAGGAGTTACTTAGCATATACTTTGAGTATGTGCTTTTGTAGGTTGGTTGTTTTGTGGTTTTGTTATTTTTTTAAATTAGGAAGCTCAGGTGGCTTAGTCATAGAGTAGTGCTCCCAACCCAAAGGCAGGTGATTTGAATCCATAAACTGTTCGCTCCATGAGAAACAGTTGGGACAGTCTCCTCCTGTGCAGTTTATTTCCTCAAAACCGCCTGGAGAGTCAGCTATGAGTTGGTTCTGGCTCGACAGTCCACCACCATGGTGTTATTCAGATGGTACAGTACACTTTGCTCTGGTTACAGCACTACATACATTTTGAGGGCTTGCTTCCAACTTCTTTTTTCCTGTAAGCCTTGCTTTACCAAATATTTTACCCAACCATCGACTTTCTTTCGCACCTGGCAGAAAACCTCAGGTCATTTCAGAATGAATTGGAACCAACTTCCACTTGAGCCTCCAGCAGTTTCTGAGGTTGTAAATGCCTGGGAAGAGGTTGCTCATCTTTCTCCCAGGGTGCTCTTGGGGCTTTCACCGCTGGAAAGGTGTTGTCTTCAGGTCAGCAGCACAGCTTCCTGTGAACTCATCACCTGAGCAAACAAGACACTTCCCTGAGTCACAGTAAATCTTGGCTAGTTTTTAATTTTTTCCCCTCCCTGCTAATTACTATTGAGACAGAACCAACGCAGTAGCTGACCCTCCATCAGGTTTTGATTCAAACTGAAGCACCATTCCCTACCCACTAGGCCACCATACTCAAAGTTAGAAAAGTTGAGAAATGATCATATGTATTAACTGAATAATGAGTGCTTTAAAATGTAGACTGCTTTTTAGACCTGAACTTCATGTAATTGAGAAATTAATTTTGAGTTTTAAAGAGCAATCATATTTCACGGGATTAGAAGAGAACATACTTCATAGGTTATGCTAAACTATACCACTTGTTACTGTTGTGCCGTCTATTGGGTTTTGATCATGGACTTTGTTGGAATTTAAGAATGTCTTTACATATTATTCTCCTGCAAAGTGAATGAGACCCATCCTAAGATAATGCATATGAGAAGCAGCCCTCTGCTGTGTGTGTAACTGACTGCCTTCTTTTCTCTGGTAGCGGCAACCTTTGGCACTGCGTCCATGAGCATGCCGGCAGGGTTTGGCACTCCTGCGCCCTACAGTCTGCCCACCAGCTTCAGCGGCAGCTTCCAGCAGCCTGCCTTCCCAGCCCAAGCCACTTTCCCCCAGCAGACAGCTTTTTCTCAGCAGCCCAATGGTAAGATCTAACTTTTGGCTAGGGTGAGTGCGCTTTGCTCTTTATACATCATAATGTTAAGTGTTTTGGCCAAAAGAACATCTAAAGAATCCTTTAGCATTTCCCGCTGAATGCTGAACATGTGAAATAGAAGCCTTTGGTGACTTGAGCCTTACTAAAGGAGTATTTTTGTGTGACCAGGGTACAGATTTAGGAAGAATCAGTGGCTGTCTACAGAGTCTCCCTTCTTTCACAGGCTTTCCAGTCTCTTTCTTATTAAATCCTCTGAGGTGTTTTCAGTGCGTTTTTATTTAAAAGGAAGCTTTACAGATTGAAAAGTTTTGTTTGTTTTTCCACATTCCAACCTGAGTATTGCTCAGAGGACATTTTTGATAAGGATATGTTGGTGCAATAGAATGATTTTCACAATAGCTAAGTGCACTGTAGTCAGATTTTTGCCGTTTGTTTCCGAGTCAGCAGGGATCATTAGAGATTAGTTTTTTACCTCTTTCTTTGCCTTGCCAGAGTCTTCAGTGTACAATTTGGAAGGCTCTTCTTGAATTACAGCGACAATTTTTTCTTTTTTAAATCAATGGTTAGGTAACAGCTTGTAAAAACAGTCCTTGCCGATCTGTAAGTCATAATAAAATATTTCATGGGAAAGGTTCACATAGAAAACCATGATTTTGTTTTTACCAAATCAAAGGCAAAGCTGGTGTTGATGAGCCACTGCCAACTATCAGCGGCCCCATAGGCACAGTAGCACTGCGCTACCGTGTTTCTGAAGCCGTTAATCTTTGCAGAAACAGACTGTCCCATCTTCCCCCTGCAGAGCAGCTAATGGGTTCAGACCACTGGACTTTTAGTTAGAGGCTGAGTGCTTTTCTTGCTACTCCTGTTGCCCTTGCCCAATAGTCACAAATTCACCTGTTAGATGAATCCTCGAAGGTCAGTGGTTTACACTGCTACAACCAGTTTGAGCTGACCATTTCTTGACAGCTGTTTGAAAGTTCTTTTAAGACATGTATGGGATATGCGTCTGTGAGTAATGGAAGTGCCCGCGGGCCAGCGATTGACATTGCTGGTTTGCTGTTGCGGCTTTCGTAGGAATTTCTCTGCGCTTATAAAAAGCTTTATATGCATTAGTTTCTCTCTTGATGGCCTAAGTACTAATTGGCAGTTCTGTTTACAAGGTGCAGGCTTTGCAGCATTTGGACAAACAAAGCCAGTGGTGACTTCCTTTGGTCAAGTAGCTGCAGCTGGAGTATCTAGTAATCCCTTTATGGTAAGTGAGATCCATTTTTCCATTTGAAGTATTTTATATATTTTTTTTCATTCAAGAAAAATTTATTGATAGGTGCTATATATATTATTTTAAATTAATGAAAAGCAGGATGTGAATCTTTCTAGATGCTACTTGGTATTCTACTGATAAGACAAATATAAGCTAGGACAGACTGACACAAAAGCCTTATGGACTGTCCTGTCTGACTTTAAGAAAGCATCATCATTTTCTAGAGTGGCATGTGCATGTCTCTTTCCTGCTGTATAAACTAGTACGTTAGGAGAATGCCTGAACAACGTAAACAGTGCTTGGATCCCACTTTGACATTAATCACTAGTACTCTATTGTTCGTAAAGGTAAGTCAGTTCCTAGAGCCCTGTATGAGCATGATATGAAATGATAGACGTAAAAGACGTGTCACAGGGCGGGACACGTGGCAGGCTTGTCACAGTGTGTCCCTGATAACAGTAATGAGTAAACATCATTGTGAACAATGGAGAATTTTTAGTCTAACAAGTACACGTAATGCCCTCTGTTCCACACACACTGCTTTTCACTTGTCCGATTCTTTTTCTTTTGTCTTGTGTTTTCCTTTAGACTGGTGCACCAACAGGACAGTTTCCGGCAGGAAGCTCATCGACCAATCCTTTCTTATAGCCTCCTGTAGACACTTTACTGGAACGGACTTTGATGTGGTCACATTACATCTCTCCGCCTCTTGCACTGTTGTCTTGTTTCACTGATCTTAGCTTTAAACACAAGAGAAGTCTTTTTAAAAGCCTGCATTGTGTATTCAGCACCAGGTGATATGTGCAAAACAGAGGGCTCCGGGAACAACTTTTAACCTGTGAATTGGCAGAAGTGGTAGCAGTATCGTGTATATTAAAAATTGGCTAATATTAAGTTATTGCAGATACCACACTCATCATGCTGCAGTCCTGTACATATTTTTTCTTAGAAATTAGCTATTTGTGCATATCAGTATTTGTAACTTTAACACATTGTTATGTGAGAAATGTTACTGAGGAAATAGATCAGCCACTTTTAAGGTGCTGTCATATACCTTGGATTGAATGACCTAAAACCATTTTAACCATTGCTACTGGAAAGTTACAAGTCAGAATTGGAAAGTTTTACTCATTCTTGAATTTTTCCTTTCTAAAGAGCTCTTCTATTTATACATGCCTAAATTCTCTGAAGATGTGGAGGGATCCCTGTCTGCATATAATAAAGCTGATCATGTTTTGCTACAGTTTGCAGGTGAAAAAAAAATAAATATTAGAAAATATGCTATTGTTTTTGTGTTTTTGCTGCAATGCCTTTACCAAAGTGGCCTTAAATATGAGTAGTGAATTGAGAACATCTTGAATTCTTAAATCAAAATTGTCAGAAGACTACCTAGTGATTAATTTTTATGTCTAAAAGAGAAAATTTTATCAGAGGCCATGTAGAGAATTTATTAAAAATATTATGACTGCTGTATTCAGGAATATGTCAGTGGTAAAGCATTTAAGTGTAGCTTGTCAAAAGACACCATAATTCTGATTTCTTTGCAACTTCTTAATTTTGTGAGAATTTGTATATATAAAGAATTTGCATGAATGTGTAATAACAAATTTTTTAAAGTATGTTGAATCTCAGACTGAAAGTTCAAAAGCCCTATTTTAACTATTGATTTTTTTTAAAAGAATATGCCTTTGAATGTATTGGAAGCAGACATGGCATTAACTGTGACATAATTGCACCTCATCCCTTCCTCCCCCCTTTTTTTAAACAAACTGATACCAATAGAACATTTGTTTATCTTTATTCTTTGGAGGAAAGAAACTGGAATGTTAACCAGAATACCCAATGTTACCTTAAAGCTATAGAAAACTTTGTTTAAAAAGGTAATGATACTAATGTTTAGCTATATCGTTTTGTTAATATTCAAATGAACTTGTTTAAATATTTATGTATAGTAATGTCTCATTCACCTAGAGCATATCTGGCAATTTTATCAAAATGAGGTATGCCTGAAAAACTTGGAGTTTGGGGGATAAATAAGTTTCTGAGCAATCAGCATAAGTCACAAAGTCTGTAAGGTAGAGCATTTATGTGACATAAAGTCATTTTCGAGTCTTTTATTTCCCAGCCTGTGACATATTAGGCATTCGGAGTGATGGTTTGAAAGGAGACCGACAGGACTGAAGAGCATGTGTGTGCTGTCCGAGACCAGAAATTGTAGGAGCATAGCCTAGAATGCAGCTGGTCTCACACCGTCTCCTGATTGTCTGCTCTTAGGATCATATGACTCTGTGTTGTCAAGAAAAAGTGAAAATATGATCAACACAAATATGTAATACATGTTTGGCCAGTTGTCTCTTAAAATGATTAATTTTTTTAAAAGCATCTTTGGTATTAAAAGAGGTGAACTTCATTTCCTCAAATCTATTTTTCCTGCTGAATGAATACCTTTTCCAGCGGTAGCTACATGAGTTGTGATCTTAGTTGTACTTTCAAACCTGTACAGTGTGGTAGACTTGTTCCACCCTGTTCTCCAGCGCACATCCAACCGACTGCCTTTGAGAAGCAGGATGGCTGGCCAACGTCTTCCCATGTTCTGAGCGCCTCTTCTCCCAGAATAAAAGGAACGCTGCAGAGGGCCAGGTGTGTGTTGCTGTTTAACTGAAATGCCTTTACTTTTTGGAAGATCCTCTCCAGCCTTTTATTTTACATGGAGGTTAAAATTTAAAGAATACTTGGATTTCTGTGTTTTAGATTGTATCCAGTCCCACTAAATTTATATGTACAAAATTATACTATACCGTTATAGGCCATTACCCAAATATCCTACCAGGCTTAACATCCAAGAAACAAGTAAATTAAAGAGTTGCTATCAAAATAGTTTTAAAGACTTTTTTTTTCTGGGTAGATTTTAAAATTTGTAATTAAATGGGAACTCTTACTGGCATATTTTAAATCAGTCCTTGTGAAATCAAAATGATACTTGTTTTAAGAAGATCTGCAGCATTTTCTCATGATCTTTTTTACTGTTAAAAAGTGCATGGCATCTCCTGTTCACCTCTGCTTCCAGCTATTGTTTGAGCACTAAAAAGGAATACTCCTTAACCACTGTAGGACTGAAGACCATCCAGTTTCCTGATTGAAGCCTATCTCGCTCCTCTCTGTGCAGGAGGGAAGGGTCTTTTCTTCTAGGACAGAAAAACTTTGATACTGTTTACAGCTTTTTGTTTTGTTTTACATTTTGGTGAACATAGATAGGAGCTAATCACTTTTTCCCCAAGATAATTATTTCTGTATATTTGAAGAAACCCACCAATGCTTGGTTTGTGAAGTCTTCCTACCCCCTTCCCCCATTCTTTTGCTCAGCACATTCCCTCAATACAATTTCTGTAAATTAGAGAGAGGGGAACTCCGTGCATCCTTTCCTCCAGGCCAGCGTTTTCCCTCTGAGACCCATAGCTCTCAGACATTGTTTAAGACTTCGAAGAACTTCTTCTTCAGGTGACTTACAACTGTATTAGAAACCCTTTTTAAAAAATATGTATATTTATTTAAAATAAAAATACTAAACTCTTCACATGTTAATATAAATTATATTTTCAATGGAAGCCTTTTACAAAACAAAGTTAATGTGAAACACAACATTGTTTTCTATTTTGTACGTCCTTGCCGGTCTGTCTTCCTGGGGGTCACTGTGATTCTGAATCGGTGAATAACAGTAGCAGGCTAACAGTATACATGTTTAACTGTGTGTACTCCAGTAATGTGCTCGTGAATATTTCCTCCTGGATCTGTGCTCACATTCCTGAGAGCTTGTTAGGTAGGAACTTGTGAGATAATAGAGTAAATGGCATCTAACTTCTTAATACTTGGTGACGTTTTGACTTTGCTTACCCCGCCAGAGGACTTTGAAGACCATTAAGGAACATATTTTGGGAAAGCACCTATTGGTCCTGCATGTTAGGTGTTGGCTGCAAACCAGGAAGTGGTTCACAGCCACCAGCTGCTCTGAGAGAGAAAAATGAGACCGTTTCCCGGAAACAACAGCCTCGGGGAGCTGATGGAGGGTCACCACGAGTCACAGTCAACTGGAGGGTAGTGAGTATGGGTTTGGTTTGTGCTCCACGAGAGAGAGAGATGCTTAGAAGAGGCCGTGGCACTAGGGATCTCATTGCTGATGTCAGGTGAATCGTGGCCGAAAGCAGAGAGTACCAGAAGAATGGCTATTTGTGTTGTATCAACTCTGCAACGGGATTTGACTGTGGATCCTAGCAAATTATGGTTTACCTTGAGAAGAATGAGAATCCCAGAACACTGGTTGTGCGCATGCAAAACCTATACTTAAACCAAGAAGCTGTTGTCCAACAGAGCAAGGGAACACTACGTGCTTTCAAATCAAGGAAGAAATGAGTCAGGGATGTATCCTGTCTTCATACCTTTTCAATATATGTGTGGAATAATAGATCATTCAAGAGGGTAGACTTAATGAAGAATGTGGCATCAGGATTGGAGGAAGACTTCAACATCCTGTGTTACACAGATAACACAGCCTTGCTCACAGATACTGAGGAGGACTTCAAGTGCTTTCTGTTGAAGAACAAAGATTGCATGCATATGTATTTGATCTCAACATCAAGAAAACAAGTCATCACCACCCAGCCAATAATCAGCATTATGATAAAAGAAGAAAAGATTGAAGTTATTAGTAATTTCATCTTGCCCAGGTCTGCAGTCAACACCCTTGGCACCAGCAGTCAGAAGATCAAAAATGAGTTGCATTAGGAAAACCTGGTGCCAAGGGCCTCCACAGAGTGCTGAAAAACAACATCAGTCCAAAGGTTTAAGTTGAGCCTGGTCCAGGCCATGGTCCTTTCAATTGCTTGCTATTCAGATGAGAGCTGGACAGTGTCAAGGTGACAGAAGAAGAATTGATGCCTTTGAATTGTGGTGCTGGAATGTTATGGGCTGCCAAGGGAACAAACAGGTCTGTCCTGAAGAGGGTGAAACTAACTTGCCCCTTGGAGGTAAGGATTTTTAAGCTCCGTCCACATACTGTAGGCATGTAGTCAGGAGGGTTCAGTCCTTGGAGAAGGACATCATGTTGGGAAAGATGATTTTTTTTTCTTTTTCTTTGATGAACATAAGAGAGGAAGACCCTGGATGAGATGGATTGACACGGTGACTATGGCAGTGGGATCAGGTGTGTCGGCAGTGGTGAGGTTGGCTCAGGATAGGGCAGGACTCCAGAGCCATTTTCATAGAGTTGCTATGAGTCGTAGTCAGTTCGACAGCACGTAACATCCATCACCACTTACGTTTACATACTTAAAAGCATTGATAACTTCTGTCACCCTTATTCATTGCCTAACTTTCCCACGCATGATGCTGTGTGCCTTCGAGTCAGCACTGACCTATAGCTGACCCTCTAGCAGATTTTCAGAGGCAGTAGGTTGCATGGGAGGAGATTGGCCAACCTCCCCTGGTGGAGCAGCTGGTGGATCGAAACCAAGTGCCTTTGGGTTTGCATCATAGCCACATAGGAAACACTTGAAAATGCCCTGGCAGGGATCCTGCACACCTTAGTCTTTAAACTGCCATCATTGCTCTTTAGCATCTTTCAGGTGTGGTGTTGGCAGAAGGGCTGAATGAATATATCATGAACTGCCAAAAGAATGAAAAGTCTGTGTTGGAGGACTTGAAATCAAGGTGCTCCCTAGAGGCAAGGAGGGTGGAACTTCAGCCTTCCTTAATCTTTATCCAGCTTTCACATACACACGACTTGATTGAAATTACTATGGCTTGGCTCAGTGATATTCTTGCTCTTTATTCATAGCTGGTCCTCCAGGAAGTTTACAGAGGCGGTGCATGCATGGGCCTAGACTGCTCATCTTTCTCCTGAAAATCAGCCGGTGGATTCGAAAGCGCTGTCTGCCTTTGGGTTGACAGTGCAGCTCCTTCCAACTGGGCCACCAGTGCTCCCTGGTCATAGTCTTTAGCACTATTACACTTTGATAAAAGGTAATTAGGAACTTGAGAGAGAGAGAGAGCCCTGTGTTCATAGAAGTCAGATGGACCCTGTGAAGTTGAGTCAGTTCCATCTCGGCTTTTGCAGAGCTGTCAGTC